TGCAAAGTGGTGATGGTTTGAATAAGAACATCTGTCTGTGGCTCCGTTGCCTGCCTTGGATCCCTTTTTCATATCTGGGCTGCCTTGTCTGCCTCAGTGGGAGAGGATGTGCCTAGTCCTGTTGGGACTTGATGTGCCAGGGTACGTTGATACCTTCTATGAGGAGAAGGGGAGAGGGGAATTGGGGAGGGATGTGAGGGTGGGACTAGGAGGAGGAGGGGCCTGTAGTCAGTATGTAAAGTGAATAAATAAATTAATGAAGAAAAAAATTTAAAAATAAGAACAGCCCCCATAAGTTTGTATACTTGAAAGCTTAGTTATCAGGGAGTGGCACTACTTGAGAAGGCCTTGTTGGAAGTGTGTCACTGGGGGTGGGCTTTAAGTTTTCAAAGACCCAGCCAGGTCTAGTGGATTTCTCTTCCTCCTGCCCATGGATCAAGATGTAGAACTCTCAGATACTTCTTCAGGACCGTCTCTACCTGTGTGCCACCGTGCTCCCCAGCATGACAATAATGGATGAAACTGTAAACAAGTCCCAGTTAAATGCTTTCTCTCCTAAGAGTTGCCATGGTCATAGCGGCTCTTCACAGCACTAGAACACTGACGATGACAGCCAGTTTGTCAGCTCATTGAAAGTATCACTGTGTTTGTGGAGCATCTAGACAAAAGCTCAGCAATCCGATATACAAGTATGAAAGTGTTGTATACAGAACATCCCATAACCGGGAATTCCTAAAAGACTACTTGCAAAGGGTTTCTTCTGCTCAAATGATTTTGAAAGAGACCAGGACTGACCATCCTTCATACCCTCTTCTAAGCAGCCCCTCCTCCCCAATGTATTTTCACACATGGGCACACAGGTCTATGTGAAACAATACTCACTCTAGTATTACTTAAAATAGAGAGTGGAAAATAATCTTAAAAGCCATTTACCACGACTCTATTTAAATACATGGTAGTATCCCCAAGCAGTGGCAAACTAGTAAAGAAGACAAAGGCTAATGCACTATATGGAATACATTGTTGAGTGTGAGGAACAAAGTCCAGAACAGTATATATTGTGAGCCATCAGCTAGATTAGAAAATTGTAAATCTATATGCTTATGTAAGGCGTGGCGTAGTCTAAATGAAAATATAAAACCAGTGGCTGATTCCAGAGGAGGGACGGAGAATCTTAGACTGAGGGGACATTTTTATTGGATATTTTTTTGTGTTGCTTGATTGGAAAAAAATACTTTAAAAATTAGTGGTTTTACAACCCTTTTAAAAATAGTTATTCACCCAGCTGATACCCTGTTCTGAAAAATATCTGTGTTCCCCCTGAACACCCACGCTCCAGTGTCATCCCCTTCCCCACGTCCTACCTTTTTGTGTTTATAACCCCTGTGTGAATGAGTATAAATTACAATTTGAAAAAAAATAAATTATATATATATATATGTATATATATATATATATATATATAATGAGAAAAACTATTTATTTCGTTTTTTTTAATTATGTATATATCTGTGTGTTTGTGTTGGGGTATTTGCAGGTACCTGCAGAGGCTCACTGATTTGACTTGACTGGTCACCTATATTTCTGGCCAATGAGATTCAAGGATACATCTGTCTTGGTCTCTCCCATCTCCCCTCTCCCTGTCCCAGCAGTGAGACTATAATGTGCACTGACACACCCAGCTTCTTAAGTGGGCTGGCAGGGATACAAACTCAGGTCACTTCACCAGTGGTAGGCACTTCACCAGCTGCATCATCTCCCCAACACCTTTTTTAACAGCTCTTTAAAATGTTTAGGCCAGGCATAGCATCGCATGCTCATAGTCTTAACATAGGAACTGAAGCAGAAGGACCACAAGTTTGAAGCCAGCTTTTGATGCACAGTATGACTCTGTCTCAAAAAAAAGAAAAAATAACTCAAAATGCCTCTGTCATGCAAGATACCAATATTCACCCGGATATTCATCCTTATTATCAGACTGGATAAGGAACAGACAGAGCAGCTCTCCTATCCCCAAAATTCGGCTGCAACCTGACCCTTACTTGTAAGATGCAGTGTGTGTGACTTCAGGGACATTCACGTTACTGTAGTATACACTCACGTCTCATGCACCTCACAGCCCTCTACCCTTTACTGCTGCGAATCTACTCACCTGCATACGGCCTTGAAATCCACATGGTTGTGTGCGGTAGTATGTACATTTGTGCTCCTAGACATTCAGATTAGACTTCACACTCAAGATCTTAATTACTAGCTGTTCATTAGTTAGTAGTATGCGTCACTCTCTTTGTAGGCACTACTACAAGAGCTCGACAATCAGACACACAATACAGTGGTGATGTACACACTCCACAACACAGCCTTCCCAAAAAGCCTGGGCCTTGGAGTTTTTCTACTCTCAAGAACTACACAGCCCATGACATTTCAAAGACTAGAAGAAAGCAATGATAGTGTTGAGAAGATGCCTCAGTGGGTAAAAGTCCTGGCTGCACAGCCTGGAGAACTGAGTTTGAATCCCCAAATTCATGAAAAGGTGGAAAGAGAGAACCAACTCTGCAAACAGTTAGTAATTAAGATCTTGAGTATGAAGCACAATCTGAAAGTCTAGGAGCACCCATGGACCCACTCCCGGGGCACAACCATGTGGACTTCAAGGCCATATGCAGATATGTGAGCAGAAGCACATCATGAAAGGACAGAGGGCTGTAAGATCTCCACATGCATGCCATACACACACACCCCAATACACACTACTGTTTGATTTCTGACCCTGGCTCAAGGGACTGAGGTACATATTTTACATACCGAAGCAGACCTGGCTCCAGGTTCTCCCAGAATCCCTCAGTATCTACCTGGTATACCCTGCCCCCAATCCTGAACTTTCCAGCCCAGGAGCTGGGCTGCCCTTCCCCAGAGGCTGCTCCCTATGTAATGCAGACATTTCGGTCTCTCTCTCTATTCTTCTCCTCTTCTTTCTCTAAACCTGCTCCCTTTCTCTTTCTCTCTTACTCTCCCATGACGACTCCCCTGCCTCAATCCTTAGCCCAGCAAACTCTCCCGTGCAGCTGCCTTTAATTTAATATAATCTAATCTGGTTTGAATTGGCTCATTTCACTGATGATGGAGAAATAACCTATCAACTACTACTACTGTTGCTGCTGCTGTTGCTGCTACTGTAGAAAAAAGAAGTCAATGGCAGTATCTTTGGCGTTCATCTGGACTACTGTTACCCCACCTTGAAGATTTATGTTATGTGTATGATCATTTTGCTTGCATGTATGTACATACACCACATGCGTGCAGTACCATCTGTGGAGGTTCAAAGAGAGCATTGAATCACCTGGAGGCCAGGAACTACAGGCTGTTGTAAGCCATCTGATATAGGTACAGGGAGCTGAACCTGGGTCTTCTAGGAGAGCAGCAAGTGCTCTTAACCACTGAGCCATCTCTCCATCATTTTATTTTTTGGGGGATGGGGGTTGAGACAAGATTTCTCTGTACAGCCTTGGCTGTCCTGGAACTCACTCTGTAGACCAGGCTGGCCTCGAACTCACAAAGGTCCACCTGCCTCTGCCTCCTGAATGCTGGGATTGAAGGCGTGTGCCACCACCACTCATGTGCCACCATCACTCAGCTTCTCCATAATTTCTTATTGTCTCTGCTTACCAAACGCCTTGACTCAACTCCCAACAGCTGCCTCAAGACTACAGACTTTTTAATATACTCATTTCTTGGCACTTGCTTTAAGATGTGCTCTATCAGCCGGGCAGTGGTGGCGCACACCTTTAATCCCAGCACTTAGGAGGCAGAGGCAGGAGGATTTCTGAGTTCGAGGCCAGCCTGGTCTACAGAGTGAGTTCCAGGACAGCCAGGGCTACACAGAGAAACCCTGACTCAAAAAAAAAAAAAGATGTGTTCTGTCTGTGTTTCTACCTAAGGGGTTGCCAGCCTACTAGGCATGTACAGGGATGAGGGATCAAGCGAAGCACAAATGACCCCAAGGTTTGGCTGTCCTTCATGCTCCGTAGGCCTGGTCTCCTGGCCCTCTGCTAACTCTGTGTGAACAAGACTGACATCTGGCCAGAGAGTCAGTTCCACTTCCAGAAGAATTTCAATAGTCATGCTAATGAGTGTTAATCCATGACCCGTGCACACTGAGTATACAGAAGCTTATCAGTTTAATCCAAGCAAAGGCTCGACACTGCCTCTGAGTGAGAACAAGTTTTCATGTCACATTCCCATGATAAGCGCAGGGGGAAACTTGAAGAACAATACTAAGACTCTGAGCCAGGAATGGTGCTGTTTCCCTTTCATTCTAGCAGAGGCAGGAGGATCTCTGTGAGTTTGAGGTCGGCGTGGTTTACACAGTGAGGTTCAGGACAGCCAGGGTGGTATATTAAGACTCTGTCTTTTTTTTTTTTTTTATAAGGTGTGTAATCACTTCATTTTTTTTTATTTATTTATTTATTATATGTAAGTACACTGTAGCTGTCTTCAGACACCCCACAAGAGGGCATCAGATATCATTACAGATGGTTGTTAGCCACCATGTGGTTGCTGGGATTTGAACTCATGACCTCTGGAAGAGCAGTCAGTGCTCTTAACCACTGAGCCATCTCACCAGCCCCAAGACTCTGTCTTAAAAAAAAAAAAAAAAAATTCCTGAGCTTTGGAGTGAGTCCTCTCAGTTCATCCTCGTTGCTTTCTAGAGATCATCCAGAGTCTCGGGCCTGCTCCTCCTGCATTGCTGAAGGAGTTAGCCTAAAGCGCGGTAGATAGCATGGTGTGCGGTACTCAACTGTCTCATCTTCAACAATCAACTATTTGAGCCCTCCCTTCAAGGTATATCATGGAGAGCACTTCTCAGGACTCTGAACTTGGATACTTATGGTGTGAGCCCTTTCTCCAGATGTATCTCAGGGAGCACTCCTCAGGATTCTGGGTTTGGTTAGCTATGGTTTCTGAGAGATTTCTGCAAAGAAAACAAAATTGAATGGGTGTGCGGCACACAGCACTGATGCTGGCACTTGGAAGGCACAAGCAGGTGGATCTCTGTAAGCTTGAGGCCAGTCTGGTCTGCATAGTGAGTTTCAGACCATTCAGAGCTACAGAGTGGAAAACTGTCCTGAAGAAGATAAAGACAAAGAAGTCAATGACAAGGTACGTTTCTGTGATAGGACTTTGTAATCCAACCATCATATTGTGGGTAACAGTGGTCTTAAGCACCTGTTAGCAGGACGACATACATGTTAGGTGATTCTTGTGTCCAGAGACTTGTTTGAACTACACCATCTCATCTCACTTCTTTGCAGTCTCCCTTGTGAACAATCAGCCAGAAGATGTGGGGTGATCAGGAGTTTGCCAAATTGGAGAGAAGCCAAGATTCCAGCCTCCATGGAAGAACTGCCAGCCAGCTCACAGCCAGATAGCATAGTCTCAAAGAGGATCTGTGCTTCCTTTTCCTTTGAGTCACTGTTATCTCTCATTGTCCTTGCTTTGGAAGGTAGGCAGGGGAAGAGTCTAGAATACAGGCATCCCATAATGGTGTTGGGGGTGGTGGAGTGGTGGTGGATAACATCTTAGAGAACCACAAGAAGGGAATCTCCCTCTACCTTACATATACAGTGCTGTATAATTTTAAATTATACAATTGATAATAAAAATAAAATAAAAAATCATAGATTACAATGGCTCAGAATGTGGCCAATACAACCTCTCTACCCATTCCTATCTATCTGATCTATAAGTTTGGGGGATTTTTTTTTAATAACCTTGATGATACAGTGGCTGTTAGAAATTGTTTTCAAGCCAAATACAGTGGTTGGTACCTGCCTGTGATTCCAAAGCCTGGGAAGTGTAGGCAGGAGGATCAAACATTTAAGGTCATCCTTGGCTACTTAGCAAATTCAGGCCATACTGAGCTATGTCAGATCCTGTCTATAAAAAAATTGTAAGACTCTTGGGGAGCCTCAGCTTACCGGAGACCCCCCCCCCAAGTGAACCATGTGGAGACATAAATCAATGCAAAAAGCAAGAGGAATTTTAATGATCCAGTGCACTGGGGTCGACCTACACTGAAGGGGGAGTGTCGACCCCAAGCAGCCCATTTGGTCCGTTTTTATACAGTTTAAGGGGTGGACTGGAGAAACAGTGACTAGGCACAATATGATTGGCAGAACAGTGTGACTTTTAAACTGATTGGTCTTTGGGGAATGAGGTGGTAAGGACCTCCCTTGTCTGTAAGTGGCAAGGGTTGGTCCATCCTGCGGAATGTGTCTACATGCTCTGGGCCTTCCCCACTCGCAGGAGGGTCTCCCTTCCTCCTCTGAATGTTAATCCAGCAAGTGTCCTCTGGCTAAGGAATGTTGAGTAGCCTCTCCCAGGGGGTGGAGAGGGGGACAAGTGTTCCAAAGTTCCTCTTCAAAATAATAAAATATAAACCATGAATAAACTACATCCTTTCCAGCTTAGAAGCTGGTTCACAGACACATACAGACTCAGCATCATTTGATGTGCTTCCTTCCAAAGTCAATGCTGATGCCTGACACAGGACACACTTCCAACAACTAGAAATAAACATCGAAGTTCTCCAGCTCTCTGCGGCTCAACCTGGCAGGGTTGTGAGCTTTTAGCCACTGCTTTCCAACCTGCAGAGAAAAGGGAGAAACTTCAAACCTTCACCTGGATTATCCTTAAAATAACCTGGTAGAGTGTGGTTGTCTATCCCCATGTTACACACTAATGAAAAAAGATCAGAGTGTATAACACGTCCCTCAAAGTCAGTGAAGAGTGTGGAGTGAATGGGACTTGAATCCATTCTCCTGCTCCATACTGGTATTTTTTCCCATGCTTCTTTGCACCCCCTAGCTTGCCTTGGTCATACAGTCTCCCTTGCAACTCTTAGCATTCTACCACTGTGGAACTAAGATATCCTCATGTATCCCCATAGGCAACTGCACAGCTCCTCCCTGTGACTAAAAATGATATTTATATTAGACCTTGAGTGTTTTGATCATAATATGAGGCTAATACTTAGGGTGTGATTTTTTCCTCAATTTCTCTGGATATAGACTGTAAGCATAGAGACAGGGCTATTACTCAGTGGTAGAGTACTTGCTTAGCACACCCAAGGCTGTGAGTTCTTACCTAGTACTGTAAAGAACAAATGAAGGGTATGGTTATATTATACCTACCTTATAGAATGAAGCAATTTATGCACAGGCACTGGCAATTTGTCTTAGAAATTAACCCCCTAGGAAAAAACTCCTGCCTTAGCTAAAACCCTAATAAATGTTAGGCCCCTCTTTCTTTCTTCCATGTAGAATTAATGGGTATCAGTTAGCTACAGGATTCAGTTTGAACAATGTCCTCTGCAGATGTCTGAGATCACTCACATTCTGAAATGGTTCCAAATAACTTCCTAGTTTTAGGAAATGACTTAGAGTCATTTATTTTCCCCTCACTGATTCTCCTGTGTGTCTCACATATATCCTCTAACATTAACACACAACCAGGGAACGAGGTGAGGGACAACCTTAGTTTAGAACCCACACCTCACAAATTTGAACATACGATATGACTTTGAGTTTCAGTCTTCTGGGACCTCAATTTCTTCATGTAGTATCCCTAAAATCCCAGCAACTATGAGGTTGTATGGGTGACCTTGTTATAAGTATATCTTCTTGACTGGATCTCAGGAGTCCACAGACACGAAACCCAATGTGAAGGAGAGTTCCAGAATCTTACCTCTTCATACACAGTGCAATTTAAGGAAGGATTCTGGTTCCTCTTCTTGGATCCAGACTAGAAATTGAGGATTAAGAGGGTTTAAGTTTAGGATAAGAAATGCCTTACTCCTCCTGACTCTCATTCAAGATTCTGAAGAGAAAACCCTCCACCTAGAGTCAATAGTGGTCCTTAATGGTACCAAAGAAGCACGATGCAGTCTAGCCTATGATGTGACCCCCTGAGCTAAAGTCAGAATTTAGTACCCCATACCCACACAGCCCTCCAATCCACAAACACACATTCCTCCTGTTCACACATGTAAACACATGTCCCTCAGGCAGTCCTAACGTAAATACTACCTGACCCTATGCATCATTGCAATACACCCTCTTCTAATGCAAACAGCTCAGGCATATACATGCATGCAAACCTTAGTACATACCCTGAACACAGTGGTGCTATGAATCATTAGCTATGCTTTGAGTAGTATGTGCAACATTTTACCATTGTGCATATAGTGTGGATGTGCATGTGAGCTGTTGCAGTGTGCATGCAAGCCCCTACCTTGGAAACCTCTTCCATGGCTCTCACCATAGCCTCAGCTGTCCTAGTAAAAGCTCTCAGATGCTTCTGTACAAAATGCTGCTTTTCTGTTCCTATCCGTTACCTATCACAAAACGTCTAAGAAAATCTTACATTCCATTGTTCTCTGAACTTCAGAACTGCCTTTTTCTCCAGGCAGAACTAGAAAAACATTTCTCCTTGTTAGTCCCTTAACATTCAGACAGAATCATTTAACAGCAGCTACTCAGCTACACAGAATGAAAGACAATTCACTGGAGTATACTGTACGCCCATGCTCTGCAAGCACACACCTGCAAACACACTAGAGTACACACATGTAAAATGCACAAAACCCTCCAGAAAAGTAGACTTCTCACCTTCCTGGAAGGATGGACTACTGAATATATTGTACATTTTTCTTGTGATGTGGAATCAGAAGGCTAATGAAGAAAAAAAAGTATTTCAGAAATATAAATTGAGTACAATCCTTTACCTCAGCTGTGCTTAAGCGGGAGCTGTGAGCACTGATCATCGATGAGGAGAAGCCTGGAATGGCTGGAGGGCAGGGCCTGACGTTGGTCACTGTTACTGTCAGTAATGATCACCACTATTTGTTGTACTCTTAGTCTATCTATATATTTTATTTCCTAACCCTTATGTTATTCCTTTAAAAAAAATAGAAATGTTCCTTCTACCACAAACAAGGTTACAGATTCAGGAGAAGGTAGGAAAAGAAAAAGGAGGGATGAAGAGAAAGAAGATGAGAAGGAAGAAGACAGCGATGACCCCAGTACACAGTAGAAGAAGAATTCAAATCCAAAATTTTCAAGGGCTCCATAACAGTTCAATGGCTCCATCTGGTGACGTCTTCCTCCTCTAGACTTGAGATACATTTCATCATGGCAGGCAACCAACCATCTCCCCGGTCAGATGCTCCAAAGGAAGAATCACATTCTCACTCAGCACCCAGACCAAGAGTTCTTCCTCAGATTTATTCAAATTATTCTCTCAGGAGTCCAAAGCGGCTAAAGCCAATGAACAGGCAGATGTTGATCACTAGCAGGGTAGATTTCTTTGTGATACTACTTTGGCAACAAGCTGAGGGTTTGACTGTTCCTGAACTTGGTCCTTAAAGAGGGGAGCGGAGGGAGGAGGAGAAGAAAATCAAATGAGATGTGAAGAGCAGAGATGGGGAAGAAAAGAAGGAAGGAGAGGAGACAGGGGGAGAGGAGATGACAGAAAGAGAAAGTTTTATCAGAAACCGTCCACTGCTGTCCATCACCAGGCATTTTCCCTTGGAAGAGAAACACCTGACACTGGTTGTCAATGAAGTCATGTTATCTGCCAATATTACAGAATGTCTTTCTAATTCATGTATGAACATCTGTACTGTAGGAGTTACAGGCACAACAGGAAGAGGAAGGATGGAAATTGAGAAACTGTGCCTCAACTTTCTTACTATTCAGCTATGTGGCCTGGAACATATCAGTTAACCAGAGTCTTAGTTTCTTCATTTATAGACATCTTTTTTTTTTGGGGGGGGGGTTCAAGACAGGGTTTCTCTGTGTAACCCTGGCTGTCCTGGAACTCTCTCTGTAGACCAGGCTGGTCTCAAACTCAGAAATCCGCCTGCCTCTGCCTCCCAAGTGCTGGGATTAAAGGCATGCGCCACCACTGCCTGGCATTTATAGACATCATAGGACAGTCAGGTGAGATTTTTTAAGAGAATGGCCATTACTATTAAGTCTAAATAAGATTCTTTAAAAGACCAATCCACATCTATTCTTTCTTTCCTTAATAGAGATAATGATTAGTGATAGCATTAGGATAATCAGTACAAGGACTCCAGTTCTTTGAATCAGAGGAAAAACAAGCTGAATCCTGTAACAAAGTTCATTCTACTATAGACAACCTGGTCTAGACTTCTGCTAGGTTTGAAAGAATGAAAACCACTGTCAAGACCCTCTAAGTGTACTGATCATTTCAAACAATTTGCTAAAGCATCTGTGGCTGTGTTCTGGGCCCCAGGGAACACCAGCATCTCATTCTCCATTCAATGGTGTGTTTTAAGTGAGGCTTAGGAAGTCCTGTGGACTGAAATAGGATGGGTTAAAGAGGCCAGAGGGTACCTTGCACTGGATCATAGAGTACATGATGCCTCTGTCTCCAGGGAATTTCTGTTCTGGCATCTGCTCCAGCACCTGCTCCTGCACAGAAAAAAGTAAAGGGGCATAAAATAATCTCTGTCTCAGCTCAGGTTGAGCAGTGAGAGACATCACAAAAGAAGAGGTCTCCAGAAGGAGAGAGGTGTAAAACTGGAAGACCCTCATTATCAAACAACCCAGAATGAGAGATGGAAGGAAGTGTGATTTGCAGTGGACCAGCAGCAAGGAAAAACCCAGGAACCAACAACGTGACAGGCTCCCTGTCTCTTCCTTCCCTTTAGTAACAGGGAATTCCTTCTTGCCTTTGCTGACTTTGGAGCGAAAGTTGCCAACGTAACCACTGAGCTCTACTCAGACTTGTGGTCCTAACTTTTCTTCTTTAGGGCATTGAAATTCAGAAGGTCCAAACATTTGAAAGACATGGCCATCGTAAGGTCCCTCTCTAGATCCAGGCTTCATGGTTGGCCTACCTGTAGCCTCAGTCCAACCCCAGAGAAGTTATGATGCTGTGTGAGAACCTGGATTCTCTGACCCCCAACAAGAGTCAGTGAGCACATGACATGTCCTGCTTCCCTTCCCTCTGCCTGCTCCACAGGCAATTAGAGATGGAAGTATTCCATCTTGCATGTCCCCAAGAACATAACGCCTAATGGCTCTTTCATGGGGATCAGGAAGGCCAGGGTAGCTGAGCTCTCCAGAAGATGTTGAGAAGCAGAGAAATACTGGCCCTTCTTGGCAGCTAGAAAGTCAGCAGGAGATTGTTGGATTGTTGCTTTTCTCTTCTGTCTGAACATATGTGAATTGTCTCCAGAAATATCTTCTAATACTGCCCCATTTCGTTGCTCTCCTTTTTTTTTTTTTTTTTTTTTTTTGAAAAGTTCTTAAATAATAGGGTGGAACCAGCTCTGGCTAATGTGCAAAGGAAAGCTGGCCCTGAACACAGATTTTTACACTTTATATAGGTTCTAACTATAACACTTCAGACAATAAATATGTGATGACTGAACTTATCCTAGCACTCAGCCCTGCTGGTAAGACTGATCTGAAATGAGGAAGATACAGGGATGCAGCCTGGGAAGGCGGTAGTAGACACATTCTGCCCTGTGCTATTGATTTTTACTCAGTTCCGCCCCTTGGCAGATGGAGTACAGCACCATGATGCCCCTTCTGCCTCGTTTCCATTTTCTCTGCTCTCTTTCTTCTCTCCTTTTGCTCTTTGGTCAGAGCCAGGAAACTGGTAGAGAAGAAAATGGAAGAGAACTGAAGATCACCTCGAAAAGACGTCTGTCCAATTCTTTGTGTCCCCTCTTCTCTTCCTGGACAGCTGAGGACGATCCAGAGGCCCTAGAATGTCCTTGCTGATCCCTGCTGATTCCTGAGTCCTTGACATATTCATAGATTGTCAGAAGTTCCTTAGGGCTGGACTCTGTGTGAGGAAGAAAATAAAGACTAGAACTTCAGAAACCTTCAGAAGATTTCCCGACCAAGATTCCACTTCTCAAGTCACACCTCTACCAAAGATGGTCATGGTTTTTAAAATGGCTCTAGAAAACAGGCAGGTTAATGCTCTTGGCAGGATACATAAAGAGCACAACAGAGAAATTACCCATGATATATATCCTCCACCAAGCTAGAAAATCACCAACTAAGCCCAGCACCTTAGATAAATCCACATATTAGGGACCATGCTGTAAATATTCTCAAGCCACCATAGATAGTGTGGACGAGAGGTTGCAGACTTTGGTTGCCCTCCCCAACCCATATTCACACATATCCCAATGCCTCTCCCGGGAAAAGAAGATGCTGTGTTTGGAGTATAGCCCATGGACACAGGGTCAACCCACTACACCCGAAACCTCAAGCAACAGCATCCCTTCAGGAGCCTTCTACTTACGTGACTGCTTTCTCTTCTTATTCCACACACAGAAGCAAATGATGGCCCCAAGAAATAGTGTAACTAGAATACTGATGATCACCACAAAGTGTAGAAATCTGAATTCTATGGGACACAGAAGATAAGAAGACTGAGAACCCATTGCCTCATACATTAGCTTCAGAAACTATCCCAAACCCACTATCCTCTCATGGCCTGTCTCCTCACATCCTAGGGATTCATAACCCTTGTTGCTCTGCCTCAGTTGGGTAACGGACTGGTCCAGCTTATAAATTCCAGAAGACTGATGCTGCTTACTTACCTCACCTGAAAAAAAGGAGATAATCTTTTCTGCTTCTAAGAGCTAATCACATGATCTGATACCTGTAAAACATCTTGTTCCTCAACTAGAACATCTATCTACTGTTCTAACTCAGCAAATATTCACCACAGACCTAGTACTACAAGCCTTCCGTCTTTCCTACCTGGTTCTTCCTCGTTTGAACTTCGATACTCACCATCTGTGTTACACATGGACACTGATCTGTAATCCAACCAACAAGAAGAGAATGGTAAAGAATTTCACATTACAGGTGTCCACTAATGAGCTTTCCATAAACATTATCTCATTTGATCTTAACAGCAATCCTATGAGGTACCTCTGGTTATTATTCCCATTTACCTAACAGAGAAATGGAAACTCACAGAAACTAATTAATCTGCCTGGGATCAAAGGGCTACAGAAATGATGAAGCAAAGATGGTCAAGGCCCCCAAACCAGTGTTCCTGTTACTACGCCTTCCCTCACTCCTGTTTGATCATTTGCTGCCCGTGAAGAACTTTGTTTTGTTGCCCCATCCCTTGAAGAAAAGTTCTTAAATAATAGGGTGGAACCAGTTCTGGATAACGCACAATAGGGAACTGGTCCTGAACATAGATTCTTCACAGTTTATATAATTTCTAACTATAACATTGCATTTTTATACAAGCTTTAATCTTCAAATCTCTTTTAGGTCCCAGAAACTTGGAACAATTAACCATATTTTACAGAGACAGAAACTGCAAATTTTGTTCTTTGGGGACATTCCTGATGAAAAGATATTTTTAGGTATCTTGAGATAGGCCAGAGATGCTTTCCCAGGGCAGCTGTTAACCACAGTCACCTTGCCTGTGTGGCAGAAGTGTGCTTTTCCTGATAAAAGGCAGAGAGCAGGTTTAAAGAGCAACTATCAGCCAGGGTCATCTTCTCTAAACCTGCCCGGCAGAGGCATGCTCCATTTGGTATGGAAAAGGAGCCTAATGGGCAGCTGTAAGAGGCCAGAGCCATCTCCTCTGAACTTCCCAGTGAAGGCGGCCCTTCTGCTGCATTCCCATTTGCTTAAAAACTTCATGTTTTTAAGCAAATATATTGGCAGGGAGATTCTTTATAATGTTAGCTTATTACTTTCATTTTCTCCTTCAGTATCTACACTTTGAGTTAATCCTGTTTAGGTCTGTAATTCCACAGGGGGAGTCCTAGCTCAGGATTCCTACAGGAAGGACTTTGATTCTTTTAGCCACAAGCTTCTGGAGGCTAAGAACTGGGCCTTTAGCTCTGGCTGCTGGCTAAGAATTTGGAAACTGCACTCACTTGGGGGTCTGCCACTGAAGTAAGGAGGCTCAAAGGCCATTGGGTAGAGTAGTGGCTCAGGACACTGTCGTGATGGGGTTGCACTTCCTAACCAGCTCCACCCACAGCCATGCTGGTTTCCTTATGCCTAAAGTGACTGATAGTAGAGTAGTCCAGGCCTGGATTCGGAACATGGAATACTTCAGGTCCAGTCCTGTGAGAACCTAAGGGTGTTCCAAGGAAAGCTTCTGAGAACCTACTCCTTCTGCTCTTTCAGAGATTTTCTCCTCTGAGAAAGGGGAGATGTACCTGACCACAAGATAAGAAAATGCACTTTATGAAGCAAAACTTAGCATGGTAAAACCCGAGCCCAAAATAAAGAGCTACACATGTTTTCTGCTGCAAAATTTAAGGACAGAGACTCTGAAGGTTGGGTTGGGTTGGGTTGGGTTGGGTTGGGTTGGGTTGGGTTGGGTTGGATTGGGTTGAATTTGATGAGATGGGTTAGGTGGATAGGATTGGGCTGGGTGGGTTGGGTAGGTTAGGTTGGCTTAGGTTTAGAGGATTGAGTTGGGTGGGCAGGATTGGGTTGAGTGGCTTCAGTAGGTTGAGTTGAGTTGGGTGGGGTGGATAAGGTGAGTTGGATTGAGTTAGGTGGGTTGGTTGGGTTGAATTGGGTTGAGTGGCTTGGTAGGTTGGGTTGGGTTGGGTTGGGTTGGGTTGAGTTGGGTTGGGTTGAGTTAAGTTGGGTTAGGTGGGTAGGATTGGGTTGAGTTGAATAGGTTGGGTTGGGTTTGAGATGGGTTAGATGTATAGAATTAATTATGTTGAGTAGGTTTGATAGGTTGGGTAGGTGAGGTCCATGAAGTAGGATAGGTAGGTTGGGTTGGTTTGAACTAGATCGATTTTACCTATAAGTGCCATGCTGATAACACATTAAGCCTTTATCTAGTAAAAAGTGGTACAACCTTAACTCAGGTAACTCAGGATGAGCAATAAATGCAGGACTCTGCTAAGTACCTTGGCATTTTCCTGCTGTTCCCACTGACAAGGTACAGTGTTATTACCGCCCAGGAAATTCTCCAGCTCGAGGTAAGACATCACTCAGCTCTTGCTCTCTTGCTCCTCTCTTGTTCCCTTGCTCTTTTTTTTCTCTTCCCTCCTCTCATTCTTCCACGTGTTCGTGGCCAGTCTCTACTTCTCTGCTCCTCTTCTCTCTCTCTCTCTCTCTCTCTCTCTCTCTCTCTCTCTCTCTCTCTGTGTGTGTGTGTGTGTGTATGTGTGTGTGTGTATGTGTGTGTCTGCCTCTACTATCCTCTTAACTCTCCTCTCCTTGCCCTTAATAAACTCTATTCTATACTTTAAAAAAAAAAAAAGACATCACTCAGGAGAAACTGGGTCTCAAATCTCTCAAATTAAGAAAACAATGTTCAGACCATCACATCAGTCACTAAACAACTAGGTATTCCCTGTAAGGAAGGAAACTACTATTTCCAATAGAAGAGGAAGATATAAGTCCTCCCAGGCTAAGACAGCCCTGTGCCCCTGAGGGAAGGCCCAAAGGCACTGGGCTAGAAAGCCATGTAACCTCACACCTGGGTCTCATGTGAATCTGGTTGTGGGATCCCTGCTGTAGGTCAAAGTGCCCCCACTTACTCAGAGGGACATCCTGACAGCTGTGGCTGAAGGTCAGGGTGTGGTTTGCCCAGCTGGCTTTGTTGCTAACATTGCAGGTATATGTGTGCAGGCTGCCGGGGTCAGTCTGGTTCTCCCAGTAGGTCCCATTCCTTTGATTGGAGATTAGCGTGCTCCCTCTGTACAAAGCGTAGCTCACATTGTCATCCTTGGGCACCAAGCAGGACAAAAACAGTTGACAAGTCCCATGAGCCCCGGGCTTCTGCTGGACCTTCAGGTGAGGTGTCCCAACATGATCTGGAAGCAGAGGTTCTGGTCAGACAGGTCTGGAAATGCAAGTCCTACAGGAATCAGAGGGACAGAGTGGACAGCGTTAAAAACTCACCAAATATAAGAATATGGAACTTCTTAGTGCAAATATTTCCCCCATTGTTGGTGATCTCCAGCTGGTAGTGACCACTGTCTTCCAGCTTAGCTGACTTGATACTAAGAGTAAAATTGACAGAATCAAAACTATAGCTATCACTAGGAGACACAGTTGAGCAATGGAAATCAGAAGTACACCAATTCAGGATCTCATAAGTTTTTGCATGTGAGCCCTGTTGTCTCTTCTTCCATTGAACAGAAACAACTTTTGTCTGTATGTTGAAAGGCTGCAGCTGGACAGGCTCTCCTGAGACACCAATGACTTCTACAGAAGAATCTGAGCAGTCTAGAAAAAAAACAAACAAACAAATCTTGTCTGAAGGCAACTGAAAGGGTATGAGACCTGAGAGACGTAGGCAGCTGCCTGTCACTTCCTTAAGCTAAGGACCTAGAGCAAGTGTGAGGAGGAACTCAGAGACACATCTGTTTCTTCTTTTCCCCAGGCTTCATCCTCTAGTTGGAAGGAACTCACAGACCAACAATGACAGCTAAAATCTCTTTTGAAGATTCATGTTTTTAAATATGTGTGTGTGTGTGTGTGTGTGTGTGTGTGTGTGTGTGTGTGTGGTGTGTTGTGTGTGTGTGGGTGTGGTGTTGTGTGTGTGTGTGTGTGGTGTGTGTGTGTGTGTGTGTGTGTGTGTGTGTGTGTGTGTGTGTGTG